GGAGGGAGGGAGGAAGGAAGGAAGGAAGGAAGGAAGGAAGGAAGGAAGGAAGGAAGGAAGGGGAGGAAGGGAGGGAGGGAAGAAGAGGGAGGGGGGGGAATGAGACAGGTTAGCCAGGCAGGCAGGAGGTAGGTACAAGGTTAGAAGGAGAAAATGAATAAAAAAACGACCACTCAGAGAGGGAGAAAGGATGACAAAGACGAAGGAGAAAGAGAGTGGGAAGTGGAAACAGTGGATGGAGCAGAGATTCCAGGGTCCAAAGCCAGGGAGCGGGAGAGAATAGAAGGGACGCAGTGGTGAGATTCTCCATTCTCCCTGGAGTGGGGAGAAGCGGCAGCTGTCGCAGCCTAGCCCTCCTGCCAACCCGGCCTCCTCATTCCTACCCCTCGCGGCCCCAGGCAGAGCTGAGCAGACACAGGCAGCCGCCTGGGCGTCTGTCTCTGTCACCCCTCCCCAATCCTCTCAACAGGTATGTGGGCCTGTCCGGACATTCCTCTCCTGAGCCCCCTCCTCCCTGTCTGCCTGATGATGCCTTGGGCTCAACCTTGAAGGACACAGAATGTGTGGAGGAATGTTCCTCAACTACTCTAGAACTGAGACATAGGATGTAGGAAGGTCCATCTGAATGCACTCAGGAGATCAGGATCCAGTCCTGCCTTGCTTGCCAGTCTGAAGCTGGGTCTGGGCTGCCCTGGCCTCTGCTGACTTCCCACAGTCCTTTCCAAGTCAGTTCTTCTAGACTTTGTTCTAACCCTCACTTTCTCTGGTGCCTCCGCCACCAGGATCCCAGACCTTACTGTGGCTCCTATTCTTTTTCTCTGTGCAGTTTTGGTGTCTGTCCTGGGTCTCGCTCTGTAGACCAGGTTGGCCTCGAACTCACAGAGATCCGCCTGGCTCTGCCTCCCGAGTGCTGGGATGAAAGGCGTGCGCCACCACCGTTCGGGTTATGGCTCCTATTCTTAATTTCATCCCTAGCCCTGCTCCTGCCCTGATGTCTACCTCACTGGTCATGTATCAGAGGGATGCCACCCCACCTTGGGTCTCTGCTGGTTCTCAGTACTATTCTAGAAGTGTCCTTTCTCCACTCTGCTCACTGTTCCTCTCAGCTCCACACACCTGCGTCCCCAGCCCTCTAGACTGGACATCTCCTCTGCCATGTGCATCTGTGTCCCGGCCCAAGTCCCAGTCTTCCCAAGTTGCCCATCTTGTTCACTCCCACACACATCAACACCCTCCTACACATTCACACCTTTGCTTGTGCCCGTGCTACCACAAACATGCTGCCACCCACACTCTGCCACACCCACTGGCGCTCTCTTGCATACTCACACTTCCACACTCGTGCACACGACACCTACAGCGCCTGCCTGTACGCACCAGCCTGCCCGCCTCATTGTTGTGCAGCTGCACCAGTGCCCGGATGTCTCCACGTCCCCGCTTGTGCTGGGCATCCATAAAGAGCCTTGACTTCTCATCCCCGAAGTCCACATCGTCTCCGCAGCCTCCCCACTCCCAGGCGGCGCTGGCATCTGGGGAACCTGTTGGCCCTGGAGGTCCAGGAGTGCCCAGAAGGCCAGAGGGCCTAGGCGGTGCTCGCCCGCGGGGTGCCTGGCATCCGCACTGCAGGAGTTCTCCCATGGAACAGGCCTGCGTGACCGCGTGGCTGGCGCCGGCTGCAGTAATCGCAAACACGAAGGCTGTCTCTCGGATGTCTGCGGAGGGAGGACGGAGATGAGGCCAGTGACTGCCCAGGATGATAGGGGACCCTCCTCCCCCAGCCTGTCCTGGGCCATCTGAGAGACAGGTGTGGAGGGGCAAGATGGGCAGAGTGCCTAGGGGGTAAATCGGGAGATAGGGTTCAAGCAGCCTCCCCAAACCTGCTCCCCTGGCAAGAAGAAGGCAGGCACATCCCTCCGGGGCCTCTCCCACACTAACCCTGCTGCAAGACGCGCCCAAAGGCCTTGCTGTGACTGGAGCAGTTCCAGCGGCGGAAACGGAACTGGAACTGACATTCTCGGACCCCCAGCCTTGCGCCCCGGGCGAGCTCTGCCACCACTTCCGGCTCTGACTGGCACAGCTCAGCCTGCCGTCCTGCCAGCCGCCTGGCCTTCCTGCAGATGCTGGTAGGATCCATGACCAGGGGGCTACCCACAGCCCTGGGGAGCAGAACAGCAGGTCAGGAGTGTACCTCCCAAAACATAAAAGACCTGGGGCGGAGTGGGAATGAAGGAGAGGGAGCCAGCGCCCCTCAGCCCACAGCCAGGTGCTACCCCCGAGTCTCTCCATCCTGCCCCTAACTGAGACTGGTGTTGTCCCTCTGGTCCCCTTTCCATCCCATGTCTGTGTCCCCTCTCTACTGAAGTCTAGGCTGAAAATGGCATCACGACAAGAACTCAGTCTTATCCTTCTGTGTGCATCTCCACTCATAAACCCTTAAAGGGACTTTGCTCAAGGTGAAGGCAGTTGTCCCAGGCCAAGGCTAAAATTCAATAGGCCTAACCCAAAAGGGAAACAAGGAAGAAATTAGCAGAAAAAAAAAAAAAAAATTAAGAAAGCTGTCAACACCCCCACCCCACCCCACCCAATCTCATGAAAGAAAGTATTCTAAGCAAAGTAAACAGTATCAAGGGAGGATGTGGCCTTAGTGGCCTGCAACCTGGACAGCCCCCGTACAAAGCAGGGGCCATCCGAAGGACAGAACCTCCATGTGGTATTAGAGTGTCTAGAGAACAGAGCCTATGAAAAAAGGCCACACCCCTTCTTAGTTCGACTTCTTCTGTAAAATGAGAAATTTTCGCTTCGATCGGACCCGCCTAGCCTGCTGCTCCCTGTTTCCCTGAGCTAGACCGCTGCAGGAAGGAGCTGGGAACGTAGCTGCTCAGCATTGTTGGCAGATAGGTGATGCCGACCCTTCTCTTGCTCCAGGGTAGCTGGCTTTCCCAGAGAGAGATGGCACCAAGCCAAGCCCTGAGTGCTAGAGTGATATAACCAACGGTGTGGTGGAGGGGCGATGTTTGGTTTGTGGGTAAAGACCTGCTGAGAAGGTCTGCACCTTGTCAGCAGCCTCTTGACCCTGCCCACCTTCATTCCACCCGAGGAGAGGGCTGCCACTTGGTTTCCATAGGTTGTCGGCCAGGAATTCACACCTGGGGGGAAACCCCGCTTGAATCAGATGGCTCCTATTTGAACATAGCTAAGAGCTCAGGCTTGAAGGGATCTGTGGGCAGAGCTGGGGAGGTTAATTTGAGACCGTTCAAAACCCTTCTGCAGAGGGCAGAGAAAGACAGGTTGGCGGGGGGGGGGGGTTTGCACACTGGAGGCAGCGGAGTATAAAATGTAGAGGAAGATGTTGGCAAAAGAGTGTGAGAGGTCAGGGTGGCCTACTTTTCAGCTTTGCTTCCGTGCCTATCTGCCCCACTGTCCCCATTTACTCCACAAGTACGGGCTGCCCAGGCATGTCCTGAGATGTAATGTTCTTAAATAGCAACAAGAGGAATTTAGGTCTTAAGGTAAAACTCTCAACACTGAAGATGAGGTGCTCAGAGAGATGTTTGCAGAAAGATGTGAAAGCCCCATCTCTTAAGGATCCCCCCCCCTCTCTCTCTCTCACACACACACACACACACACACACACACTTGGGAATGATGCTGTTATCCCTACTCAAATAGTTTAGGGATCAAGCATCTCTTCTGGGCAGAAACAGGCATCACAGGTTCCCTTGTATTGAGCTTGGGTGCCCCTTACCCCCACCCTGCCCAGCACCAGCCCTATCCCACAGTCTCTGCCCCAGAGAAGGGACCCATGGAGTAATGATCAGTGAGCCAAGGTTAGGACAACCCGAGCTGGCTCCCAATGGCCCAGTGACCTTGGAGAATTGATCAGCCTCTACCTGTTCATCACTTGCCTATTATCTATCCTACCCCTAACCAAGACCAATGTTGTCTCACTCTTACTTTGTCTGTCCCATGGCTGTTATCCCCTTTACTCCAGTCTAGACTAAAAATTGCACCACAAAAAGAATTCAGTCTTATCTTTCTGTGTACATCTTCATTAATAAATCTGTCCACTTATCCACCTCATTAAAAAAGGATTTGGATTTGAGTGGCTTCCAGCATGGTTGTTCAGGGTAGGTAGATAAGCTCCCTTGTTGTTGGGACAGTCTTTCTTTCTTCCTTTTTCTTTATTTTCCCTGGAAGCTTTCTGGGTACCTGATTTATATCCCTGCAGTGTTTATTCTGAAATTTGCATGTCGTGAATTCTACATTATGGATGAATAGATATAGATATATAATGACAATGAATACTTAACATGTTTCTGAATGAATGAGCCATAAGACACCCTCCCCCCCCCCTGGGTCCAGGTCCCATTGATGTGGTATCATATCATGACTCCTAGTGTCATATCCTCAAACATTTTCTCTCCCCGAGATGAGAGAAGCAAAGTGGGCCTCTCTGCAGCTGTCCAGTTTCTCTCTACCACCTGCACACCCTAACTCCTCCTGACTCTGCGAAGCTCTGAAAACTCGCCTTCCCCATCTCCATGGCCCCTACCACCAAGTTCCCCAGCCCCACCCCCACCCCCACCCCTGCCCTCTGCACACTCCCTATTTTCCCAAGGTTGAATGGATTTATCTTCCCAAGGTCACTCTGCCCCATCCCTCCCCTTTCCTGCCTCCTCCCTTGGCAAAGCAGGAAAGAGTTTGGGGCAAGCAAGGGAAGAACTGCAAAACCCTCTTGGCCTTGTCTGCTTCCCAGGGGCTAGAGATAGGAAAGGAATCGTGGGGAGATGAAGGGCAGGGCCCCCAGGAGGTGGGGCTGGCCCTTCACAGGGTTGAGGGGCTGGCTGGCTTCCTGGGAACAAGTCTTGTTTACCAGCTGGTCAGGAGGCGGGATGGGCAGTGATAGCACTAAGAATCCCAAGGGACCAGCTTGTTCCCTGCCCTCCTGTCCTAAAGACGTAGGAAATGAAACTCCAGAAAAGACACAAGACAGGGGGTATTGAACAAACTACCCAGCCCTACTTCTGACCCTGGTTTTTGTCATTTCTGGGTGGGCTGAGCCATTCCAGACAAATCAGTTTCCTCTGTGGACTTAAGAAAAAATGATGAGTTGATCCGGAAGTGCTCCAGTCTCAGTGGTAATATCTGACTCCACTTCTCGAACAGCTCCCCACCCTCCTCTCTCATTCCTCCTCATTTACTTTGCTTCCTGGACATTTGTTTCCTTACATAATGAGTGCTACTTTGGGGGAGTCTGGATCAGTGTTGACCTGGGATCAGCTCAGAGAAGATGCACACTTTTAGAACAATTTGTATATCTTAAAGCCGGAATGCATGGTGTAAGGAACAGATATCCTACTTAAGCTCTGGGATATAATCTTATGGCCACTTCTGGGCACAGAGAACGTGGCTATCCCTAAAAGAATTCAGTATACAGACAAGAAGATAGGCTCACTCTAACTGTCCTGGCCTGCACTGAGAATTCTCTTTCAAGGACCACAGTTGATGGATCTGTGGCCCGTTAAGATGGAATTAGAGGCCAGGCAGTTCCGACTAGTAATATCTATAGACCTGAGTCCCAGAAACCCCAATATTCTGGTTCATCTTACTCTTCTACCGCTGGACTCAGGGAATAGAAGAAAATGTTGAAGACCAGCTCATTGACCTCATTCACTTCATGGTCTCACAGATGAGCAGGGCGAGCAGAGTTGATGGTCTCTGGCCACTTAGTGGAGGGATTCCCCATTGCAAAACAAGTTGGGTAATTTTAAAACCAAAACAGAGCCAGGCATGGTGACATATACCTTTAGTCCCAGCACTTGGGCAGCAGAGGCAGGTAGGTGGTGGGTCTCTGAGTTAAAAGCCAGCCTGGTCTACAGAGCAAGTTTTTGGCCAACCAGGGTTGTAAAGGCTCAATAACAACAAATGTCCACCCACAGGAGTTGGTCTGGTGGCCTGTGTCTGTAATTCCAGCTTCTTGGGAAGACAAGCTAGGGAGATTGGCAGCTCAAGTAAGCTTGAGTCTGGGACACTCAGGAAGACCGCGTCTCAAAAAGTTCAGACGTAGCATCCTTGCCTGGCATGCTTGGGGCTGTGCGCTCAATCTCCAGTACTGTTCAAATAAAATGAACACCCAAAGCGGGACTGGAAGGAAGTGGGGAGACCCCAGGTGGTCTCTCATAGTAGCTCCACACAGCTCATCCCTGCTATCAGGGCTGGGGACTCCACCCCAGACCACACTTCTGGACTCAGGGCCACTTCCTCTGCCACCGTAAGTCAAGATGTTCTCAGCCAGCTTCTCTTCAATCTCACCTCCGCTCCCACTCTCCCTCAGGAGCACCAGCCCTGGCCTCAGCTTCATCCTCCCGGTTGTCACTCATCTGAGTGTGTCCTGCCAGCGTGGCCCCTTGTCTTGCCTCCTCAATTAAGTAGAAGTCTCATTCCGTTAATGGCAGGAATCTCACAAGTGGGCATGAGGTCATCAGTGGAACACACCCTCGGGAACTGGGGGGATCCAGGCTCGGACTGGATCCAGGCTCTGTCACTGGCTTGTGTGAAGTGGAGTGAGTCCCTGGCATGTGACACACACTTGATATTTGTTGGATGGATGAGAAAAGTTAAACACCAGTTCCTCGGCTGGAAAATGAAAATCATAATCCCACCCTCCCCTCCCCCGATGATAATGTACAGAGTGGATCCCATCGAGTGCTTGTATCCTTAGGCCTGCTCAACACAGGGCAAAACAGTAGGGATTGTAGGTGGCATGTGTGGAGCCCCAAGAACGTTCTTTTTGCAACACTCTGTCTTTCCTGTCCAGTGTGGATCTAGGTTTCCTTCTCCACTCAGCCTACCCAGTGTCTAGAGCACCCACTAGGATCCACCCCCTTACCCAGCTGGATCACGGAGGCCAATGGGACCACCAACCATGCTATGAGTGCCTAACCTCCTAGGAGAGTCTCACAGCCAGCACGCCAGTCTCTCTACCCCGCCCCCAACTCCTTACCCCCAAGATCCTTCATCTGACCCCACCTCCTAGGAGCCAGCAGAGGGAGCTCTGAGCCCTGGGGCTGTGGGTGGGGGTGTGTGGGGGAGGTGGGGGAGGTGGGTGGTGGGAAGGGGGGCAGAAAAATGTTGCCTGACGGCTGCCGAGGCTGCCGGGCCTGTGCCCGCCCGCCTGTCCTGTCCTGCTCTGTCTAACTCCTAACTCGGTAATTACTGCTCCCCTCCCCCAGTCCCTACCCCCATCCCAACCACCACATCAAAGCCAGTGATGCCCCAGCTCCATTAACCCCTGCCTCCCCACTGCCCACCTGTGGCCCCCACTCACCCTTCCCCACACAGACACAATTTGGTTCCCTGTGTCCTTCCTCACACTTTTATCTCCATCTTTTTTTTTTTTCTTTTTTTGAGAGGCAGGGGCTTTCCCTTCCCAGACAGACTTCACTGTGCAAAAGGGCTTCCTGCTTGCCAGAGCTCTGGAGGCGATGCCCTCCACTGCATGCCTGGAGGACAGTGGTCATACTCTTGCATGTACAACGGGGGACACACATCTGAGGGTGAGATGGGGGAGCAACGGGGCCTGTGAGGACCTTGTCCCTCCTCCTGATTCCCACCCTCACTGCACATAAGGAAAGGGCACCAAAAAAAGAGACAGGACTCTCAGCTACCAACAGGCAGGCTTAGCACCCTGGGCAAGTTCCCTCCTGTCCTTGGACCTTCTACCTTACCGCTGACCATAATAGACTAGGTTACCTCTCAGTCCTCTCTAGATCCAATTCTAGATTAAACAGAGGGCTCCGGGCTGGTAGAGGCAGCCAAAGAAGCCTCCTCCGGGCCACAGTTCTCTCTCTGCACAAGCTCCCAGCTGGCCAGGAAAGAAATGCCCGGCTAGGGGGCGCTCTCATCAATCTGCAGAGGGCAGAGGCGTCCGGTTCCCTGAGGCCTCCTGCTGGCTGGCCAGGGCTGGCTGCTGCCCTGCCCGATTCTCTCCACAGCTGCACTTCCCCATCAAAGTACACATTCTGGAATCCCCCTTGCAGGGCCCTGGTGATGGGGCCTCCCACTGACCTCCAGCCACCAACTCCAGGCTTCAGATGTGAACGGGACAGGAGGGAGCCTCACCCCCCGCCCCCCCCCTCCAGGAAATGTCACAGTGCCAGGACTCTGGTGGGCCCAGGGCATGCTCTGGCCGGGATCAAGCCAGCCTCCTTTGCCCCTGCCCTTTTCTGCTCACAGCCCCATTGTCTCCCCAGAAGGGAAGCTGCCAAGGCTGAGGCCTGGAAAAGGGACTGGATGGCTACCCCACCCCCAAGCCATCCCTACTGGGGAGCTTGATGGAGAGCCAGCATCAGCATTGACCAGGAAGGATCAGGGGCCCCAGATAAAGACAGGATGGCCTAATGACCAGGACCAGTATGGACACACAAAGGTATGGCTGAGGGCAGCTAGAAAACCTGAGTGCCAGGAAGAGGTCTGGTCCTTTTCCTGCCTCCCTGTGGGGTCCTTGACCTTTAGCTCCGGTTTCTTTTCCATAAAGAGGGAAACAAAAGTGGGGTGACTGGGGGTAGATTGGGCAGCTTCTTCCTGGTGGGACGGGGGAGAATTGGTTTATTTCACAGAAAATATAGAACAGTGAGAGGAAGAGAGAAGAAGGGAGATTGATTTGGCTCTGCTATGACAGTGAGCTATTTTCTACATCCACTGATTGGAGGTATAAATAAAGATGGATCAGACATTGTGGAGAGGGGCGTAGAGAGCAGAGGAGGAGGGGGACCTGGTGACCTGGGAGCCAGGGCCTCTTTCCTGCTCACACTCTCAGGACAGAGTTCTTGGAGGGAGGGCAGAGCATAGGTTGGATGGCCTGGAGGCAGGGGCTGGACAAGATGACCTCAAGAGAGCCTGGCCAGTGTCCTGGAATCTGAGGTTCTGTGATTCACGAAGATACAGTTACACACTGGAGAGATACACAGAGGCTGGCGGCGGCGGCGGAGTTTAGAAAGCACGCACTGCTACATAGCAAGACCCTGTCTCAAAACTAAACAAGAAAAATTAAAAATAGAAATCTCGCACTGCATTGGGAGGAGGTGGAGGGGGAAGAAAGGTGGAGGAAAAACTTCTTTGTAACCAAAAGGCCTGGTCTCTGAGCTGATTGACCCAAAGCCCGGGGTCACTCTCCTCTAGGACCCTCTTTTAGTGACCTAGACAGTCAAGTCCTCCAGAGACCCTGGAGTCCTCCCAGCCCCTGGATTGTGGAAATGACTGGATTGTGGAAATGGCTGCTGTAGGTCACGCTGCTTTTCTGCCACCCATGGAGTTTCCAGCCCAGCTATCATCCTCTGAGAAGGAAGGGGAGGAAGGCACCAGTCCTGAAGAACCCAGCTCTAGTGAGACTGGGGAGGTAGTGTGGCAAGTGCCAAGAACCTCAGGCTAACAACCCAGCAAGATCTACCCACTGGCCCAAGCCTGGCCCGGGTAGGCTATAACAGGACAGGAGCAATGCTCAGGAGTCAAAGAACCGTGAATGTCAACCTGGGCTAGACCAAAGGAATTAAGTGTCCGAAATAGACAGAGAAGGGGCCGAGGCAGGTGGGAGGAGCAGGTTCTCTCGGAGACACATCTGAGAGAAGCATTCGCTGCTGGCCACCTTATCACCCTGGCCCTCACTCTTCACTTAGCTCCCGGCTGCAGCTGCGGCCATGAAGGCCCCTGTGTTCTCCCACACCTGCCCTCCTCATCTCCTCCCCCACTCCCTGCTTCCCAGCGTAGTCAGGGTCAGTCTCCAGAGGGCCCAGGCCCCTCTCCCGTTGGCTTGGCTCCCACCCAGCAGCCCTTCCTGAACAAAGGAATCCTCACAGACACAAACCCAGAAAGCAACACTCCGTAAACCTGTGTCCAGCACCTACACGGTCCTGGGCTTCTAGAACTCTCGAGACAAAGGAACGGGGCTGGAAAAGACCCCCAGAAAATACAACTACCGGTCAAGTGCAGTAACTTCATAGTTGCCCCAGGCTGAGAGGGCACAGGATAGCAGTGGGGAGGGGGGCGGGACTGGGCGGTCAGAATGACAGCTCTGTGGAGGAAGTGGTATTTGTTGGAACAGTTTAGACCAATGGGGAAGGAAGGAAGAGATGGCAGAGTAAAATTAGGAAAGGTGTGTAAGAGGGCAGAGAGAGGGAGCTCTTTGCCAAACATTACTTTTGACTCTTTATTCCGTATTTAAACGAACCCCACTTTTCATTCTCCCCCCCCCCGGGGGGGGACCAGGAGGATGAGAAGCAGGATTGGGGAGAGGGCTCCTAATGTCAGGTCGTTCTGTAGATCTTCCCACCCAGTCCTCCCGGCAAGCCTGGCAGGTAGGGAGATTGTTCTTTAAAAACAGAGTTGGTAGGGTAGGGTAGGGTGGGAAAGTGATTCGCTTAAAACCACAGATTTAATGGCTGGGATTAGATCCGTCTGTCAAAACTGCTAAGTACCAGCATCGCAGCTAAACTAAAGACGCGTGCTCCCTAACCCGAGCCTGGGTCTTGTATTTGCCCTCTCACTGACACCCGTGAGGATGTCTCTCCCGCATCGCGGAAGGATAGCGGCCAGCAGCTTCCTGTGTGGGCACACTACTCAATCCCGGTCGAGGAGAGGGATGGGCCTGCCCCACCCCTGGGTCCAAAACCGCGAGGGCGGGTGAGAGAGGGCGGAGAGGGTCGGAGTCCAGCCAATGACGCGGCGAGATGCAAATGTCGAAGTCCTTGCTGTCTTAGGATTGGCTAATCTAGCAGCACTCTCGCCCAAACCCCTCCTCTCCGAACACTGAGCTATTCCGGGCGGGTGTTTGTGGCTCTAAAAACTTAAGAGGAAAAAAAAAGTCTTGAGGATTTGGATCTGAGTTGTCCCGGCGCCCCCCCCCCCCACGCTTCTTCTCCTCCCCTATCCGACCCCTCGAGGCTCAGGACTCTGGAAACCTTCGAAGTCTAGGTGTCTGCTCTGGCTAAATCCAACCCCAGAGTCCGAGTCTGAGAATTTGCCCCATCCCTCGGCCGGCCTGTCCCTTACTTGCTTCACCAGGACGCTCCCCGGTTCCCACATCTCCGCTACACATTTTTAAAAAATCGTTACTTCCCACGTCTGGAAGGGCCGGCCTCCAGGATCTCCTTCCTGTCTCTCTTACTTGCTGGGGTCGCGGGGGCGGGAAGCAGTGAAGAAAGTCAGAGTCCTGACTCAGTTTCCCCCATTTACATTCCCTTTTTCTCCACATCGCCCGTGCTGAAAGAGCTAGCCATGGTGAGGTCGTAGGTAAGGAGGGGCGGGAAAGAGGCGTCTGTCTGACCCTGTGCCTTACAGCTTCCCATCTCCTTCCCGTCCTGTTCCAGAGCCCTCCTCGCTCTTCTCCCGTCTTCACCTAATCTCTCACTATGGGTCTCATGACAGCTTTTCCCTACCTACCTGCCAATTCCTTGTGCTATGAATTGGACACATTTCTTTAGGGAGGGGGGGAAGAAGGACACGGGGGGGGGGGAGGACACACAATAGAATATCCAGGGGCAGGGAGCGTCAAAGTGGCACTTCAGAAGTGCTCGGGCAGAGATCAGAAAGCAGCTGTCTGCTAGGGTCCCTGTGCAACTGCCCGGTGGTTGGGATCCCGGAGCGGGCAGAGCCCGAAGGCAGCCTGCAGGATCGTGGTACTGAGTTCCAATACTGGCTCGGGGGTCCCCACCCTCTGGCTTTTGGAGTTGCGCGGTGGGGGACAGTCCCATTCAGCACTCACCACCACAGTCCCCCGACGTGCGCGGGGCACAAGAGCAGCAGCAGCAGCAGCCCGAG